GTTTTTCTGTTTGTTCAACGAGAGTTGTGTTGCTGTAGTAGGAGTGGTGAAATCGACGAATTCAAGAAAGTCGAGTAAGTGATTGTTAGTGGGCACTTTCTGATCATGAACTTGAACCTTGACATTCTTAAAGCCCCGAGAACCTCAGAGAGGCTATTGGCTCTTGAATTGATGGAAACACTTGACCTGATGTGGGCATTTATGTTGACTTCTTTTTTCGGATAGAACTTGGATGTCAATATGGTGAGCTCAGCAATAGCTCGTAAGTTTGCCCACTAAAGGTCCGCGAGCGAGTTACACCGACATAGTGTTGTTACAACACTGTTATAGATATCACACACGAGATACTCACCAGAGATCACCCAAGCAAGGGTACGCTACGGAGAACATAACCTCGCTGGTGTGATATATTAGACCGTTCCGACAATCTGTCTTGCTTGGGAACGAGTGCAGTCCGTGGAGGACACCTCTGGAGCAATAAGAGAATGAATAGGCCTCTTTCGATTGAGTTTTGTGTACAGGCTCGGTTATAACCTCAACTAGGTTACTCATCCCAGTTGCCGAATTCGGTAACCTTCTTGCATCCTCTTATCAATTCACTCCGTCTCATTGATCATTTGCGTCTTTAGAATCAATATTTGAGATTACTTCGTGAACGTGTTGAGTATCAGAGTGTTTGCCCGAGTGGTTAAGGGGGTGGACTTAAGATCCACTAGATATGGTCTGCGTGGGTTCGAACCTCACAGCACTCATACTCATCGACCTATTCGTTCACATGCCTGGTCGACGGGATGCATATAGAACTACATGCAGTGAGACTATCTGACTTTGACTTGGCTTGACTATGATGATGAGCTAAAGTTCCTCGCCGTAAGGTCATGGCTCATGAAATGGCCACTCCTTCCCACGCAAGGGGCTCGTCCACAGTTTTCATTTGGCTCGACGGGACGCATTTCGATAGACTGAATCCCTAATAAAATCCGCATGGTATTACTCATATCATGTGAGAGAGGTTCAAATGTGGAGTAGAAGAGCAATCCGCGTAACTCGGACCGCGTCGCGATCTCAAAGATCCGAGGATAGTGACGTCACGTCTCTTATGACCTAATAGTATCGCGTCCCCCAGGCCTGGCAAGCGTCCAACAGACCTCAATAACTTCACGAGCAACTTTAGTGGATAATAATCAAACATGTCAGAAGCATGATGAGGCTAGGCTTTGCTGTCGGCGTTGGACTTCAAACCGAACTGGGTGCACCGACCAGGCCCATCAAACCCGAATCGGATTTCCCGGTGTTCACCACCCGACATGCTGCTGCATGTTGGGCACAGAAGTCCTGACCCACCTATCGCATCGATTATTGAGCGAATCAGGGGGTGGTGTAGATCCTCAACTATACGATATCCGCGCCGCTAGTCTAAAGGTTATGACATCTGTCTGCCAAACGGATGATCCGGGTTCAATTCCCGGGCGGCGCAGTATACCATTCAACTTCGGCTGAATGGTATTGCTATATAGTAACTTTCTCGAACCATTGCCAGTGCAGGCTACGAAACATTTGCCAACACCTGGGTACCTCTGAAGACGGTGCACCGACCGGACTTACCCATCCCGAATCAGATTTCCCGATGCTCATCACCGAGATGTTGCTGCATGTTGGGCGCAGAAGTCCTGACCCACCTATCACATCAATTATTGAGCGAATCAGAGGTTAGCGTAGACCCTCAACTATACGATATCCGCGCCGCTAGTCTAAAGGTTATGACATCTGTCTGCCAAACGGATGATCCGGGTTCAATTCTCGGGCGGCGCAGTATTTACAACGGTCTGCAAATGTTGTGGAAAATGTGGAGATGGGCATCAAGTGCCTCAACTTACACGAAGTTATGCACCACTCGCAGGGAATATTACATTTCTGCACACATCAGTCTCCTCTGAGCCGCACGACGAGGCTAACTAAGCCCTTCTGTCGATGTTGGACGTTAAGCTCAAACACAGCAATACCATCCAACTTGTAATTTTCTCGAACCATGGCCAGTGCAGGTTACGAAACGTTAGCCAACACCTGGGTACATCTGAAGACGGTTCACCGACCGGACTTACCCATCCCGAACCGAAATTCCAGATTCTTACCACCCGGCATGCTGCTGCGCGTTGGGCACAAAACAAACCCCCTTGACCGCAACCTACTTCGAGACTTACTGAGCGGATCATAGCGTGGCG